TATGATCGTAGTGTTGCATAATACCAAAGTAGAACTTGTTGACGTGTGAGGTTGACTGAGTATCATGAATAGGTTGCAATTTGCAAGCGCTATAGTCGCGTTACAGTTAAGTGTCGAATTTGGGCACTCCTTGTAGCCTGTATATCTATTCAGGGCCAGTTTCATATAATAACAGTATAATATAGCGCCTACACAACAGTCGTAATAGCATCTCTCACAATTGGCCTAAAACGTTTTCATTTCAACCACTCGGTATACATGAAATAGCATTAATGTTGACTCACATGGGAAAAGTTGAAACATCGCAAGATCGCACGTCGTCACAGTAACGGCTCAGACACGATCGTCACTCTGGAAGTAAAACGCGTTGACGACCAAAAAAATAAAACCAACTATAACGCATAGAAACATGCAATATGCTATCGACTACAGAATGTGATTGCTTCACAAGGTAAAAAGGAATAACAACCGCGACGGATTAGACAAAGTTAAACACTGTAAACACACAGTTACACACTATAAAACAAAATTGTTTCATTTTCCACTTTTATAGTGCATTACGCCAAAACAACAGAGAAAAGAGGGAACACTAGACAATAAATGAAAGAATTGATTGTAATATCAGCTGACGAACGTGAAAACCCTGCCGCAGTGATTGCTGGCAAAATGCCACAGTTCTGCGGCATGGTAATATCAAGTTCGGAAAACTCGTCCGGTTGCACCTCCCCTTGAAGGCTAGGCGAGATGTTACTGGAAGAGTGGAGGTTCCTGTTTAGGCTTCATCGCGGGTTTTTTTGCTGTTTCTTCCATTTCCATTCAACAATGCACACTCACATCCGTTATCGATCGCTCTTACCCCGCAAATCCGTGCCTGAGTTGTGCCTTTAACTGGAACTGGAACTGTATATAGGTTTGAACTTTTAAAAGGCGAACAGTGAAGACGACTGCAGAGCTATTAAGGAAATTATCGTACAGATGCGGAGACAGTGGTTGGCTGCAAATGTGGCTAAAGGAAAAAACATGGATCTAAGGCAGAACGTGGGAGGAGATTGATGAACGAAGAGCAATAAAACTTCGAAGGGATCAGGCCAAAACACACGAAGATAGAGAATAAGCAAGCCGGAAAACGTGGAAATTACCGTTTCGTCGAGAAATCCTGTCGCCGTGATAAGAAGAACTGCTCACGTAAAAAGAATTGAGGTTCAGAAAGCAGTATATCGTGGAGATTGGAAACTCTCAACGAATGAACTGACACGGAACTCAAATCCTGGATGTTCCTGTACATGACAAAAATGGCCGACTCCTACTAAGATATGAAGAACAGAGAGAACAAAGGTGGCTAGAACACTTCCGTGACGTGCTCGCCGGCCTCGCCTGCGAGCCTGCAACCTGACAAAGACTTATAGCTCGACGAGATGATGCAGCAGATTAGCTCGATACTGCGGGAAATATCACCATTGAGGAGACAGATCAAGTGGTCAAATGCCTCCGTATCGAAAAGCCTTAGGACTGGATGGAATCCAAGCAGAGCTATTGAATGAGTGGTAGATCAATAACGGAAGTATTATCTGACCTGCTCAATCGGTGCTGGAATATTGCACTTTCAGTGCCTGATTGAACATTCTATTTGAAAATGCTACGACGACTCCGAAAGCGCCACAGACAAACGGCCACGAGGAGGACGAGCGGGGCTCAAAAGTGGCACATCATATTATGAACAAATGTTCGCTCTCCGTAATATTATCAAAGAATTTTTGGAATATCACCATCTTCTCTTCACAAATTTTAGCGACTTCAAAAAGGCGTTTGATAGCATCAATCGTGATTCACCATGGGTAATTCGTAGGGGATACAGCATACCGCTTTATCAGCATCTTCAAGAGCTTGTACCCAAACTCATAATGCTGCGTCGTGAGAAACGACTGATGTACAAGGTTCTTCGGAATCACTACAGAGGTGCGACAAGGATTTATCTTCTTAGCATTTTTATTCAATATCTGCCTGGACTCTGACATGCGAAAGGCGGTAGGATGAACGAGAAATGGCCCTAAGTTGGTATGACCAGGAACGCAGGAACGTCTCACAGATCTGGTTTTGGCGGATGATGTTGCTCCCATTTAGGAAGAAGGAAAACTGCCTTCAAGAAGCGACCACGAACCTTAGCAATGAAGCCACAATGATTGACTTACGCATCAAACCCCAAAAATCGAAGGCCACCAGCATTGGTTCCCGTAGACAAAAATATTCACTAACGTCGCTGTGGGGTAGCTCGAGACAGTGAGAAAATTCGCTCATCTTGAAAGGAATTTATTTATTTATTCATTGGTCAATCACATAAAGGTAATGGCGCAGCTGTAGTCACTTATTTCACAACTTCACTATAAATATTGACTTCACTTCAAATAGTCTACGGAAAAGAAAAAAATCGCTGAGATGAAAACTTCATAAGACCCCAACAGAGCGTGTAAGCGAGCTGATCGGAGAACAGTGCGTTATACATGGTTTTTTAACCAGTAGGCCGCATAAGTAAGCTCTCGAACGTGTACATCAGAACCACGAGCCACCGAGCCCTGAAAATAACCAACTGCCGAGGCCGCAGCACAACAGGGGCGGGTGCTATAGGCACCTCTTTGATCTAAACACGAACCCCAGGAGCTGGCTCGTGGGCGCTTACGAAGGCTGTTCTACGGGTGCGCCAAGCGTGGTCATCAACGGTGCCTCCGCCAAATTATGCAGATACGGTATACCGAAGACATCACTAATCAGGAAGTTTAGGTGTGAACAGCCTCCACGTGATTGTGGCACGGCGCAGACCCTGACTGCTGGATATACAGTAGCGGTCAAAAGTTTGGAAACTTCTCAATTCCAAAGCGAATTCGGCAAAATAGCTCTCGAATCTACATGATAAATTAGTTATTCGATGAGTAGCTGTGAATTTCTATGTCAGCGTCGTTTTTATTGACATGGAGTTGATTATAAAATAATTTTAGGACTTTTAAATGGAGTTGATTATAAAATAATTTTAGGACTTTTAAGTCGAACCCTACACACTGTGAACTAAATCACATTGTTTGGTGGGATTCTTAACTGGAATGTGGGTTGAGCGACATGCCAGTTCTTCCGTGGGATGTAGAACTCAATTAGACTTCAGATCTTGACTTGGTCGCTTCATAACAGCTTCTTTTTCTGGGTTTAGGAAGGCGGCAGTGAGGAGGTAGGCCTGCATTGGGTCATTTCCGCGATAGAAAACCCATCTTTTCCGGCTAGTTCTGACTATCGAAGGGAAGCATTGTATTCTACAGACTATACTTGTACTTAGCCCAACCCACATTTCGCTGGATACCTAGAACTGGGGAATCGCCGAATGGTCGGACACATCTTCATCCATGACAATACTTCCACTATTTCTGACTGTTGGAATCTTATACTCAAAATGAGGTTCCATTTGACAAACACTTCACAGGGTCCACAACATCATTTTTAGGAAGACAGAAATCCCATTCGTCGCTGAGGACAAAGTTTTACCTCTCGCCTTCGGTCCATGTTAGCCGTTAGTGTGCGGAAGCCAGTTGGGCCATCCTGCTCTTGAAGCCCAACAATGGCTTCTTGTTGGGACATCATCCGTAATATTCACCAGGTCGCGGCCGATGTTGGGCTGCACTTGGACTTTCATATGATTAGGAAAACCAGAAAAAGTCGTCTCTTAGTTGGGATGTCGGGGGTACGGGACGTGCCAACCACCCTTCGAAGTATTTGAGGAGGGCCAATTTTCTTGTGAGGATACTTTTTTGTGAATGATCATTCTTCTTATGCTTACTCGACTCCAATAACGCTAGAAACATTCGATAATATTGCTTCCGTAGAGACTGAACTACTAAGAAACAATTTCAATTTCGTATTCCGGATTGTAGGGTTTAAAAAAGGACCTCCCATGGAAAAACTGCTTCCTTTGCATATGAATTCATTTTGAAATTACACATTACTCAATGGTTGAACTAAAATTAACAGAAACAAGTAAACATTGAAGAGTAGGAATCATAATGATGAGGGAAACAAAAAGTTTCCAAACTTTTGACGCGCCATTACTTGAAAAAAATCTTATTTCTCAAATATGATTATAGGTTTTTGGAAATTATTCTTCCCGTCGTATTCTGAACTTGATTTTGTATGTAATATCTAAATTTGGGACAATTTCGTTATGTGTCGGCCGCGCTAGATCAAAAATAAAAAAGTTTCCAAACTTTTGACCGCTACTGTATCTCACGTATGCCACAACAGCGTATGCCACGAAGGGCCATGTACTGGATTCCTCCAGGAGCCAAAAGAGCAAGGGGCCGTCCCAGAAACACGTGGAGACGAACATTCGATAATGACCTAAAGACCATGGATGTTTCTAGGGATGAAGGTGAAATACTTGCGCAAAATCGTCAGCAATGGAAAGAATTCGTCGCCCGATGTGCTCAACAGCACGGGAAGAAATGAATCGACGTCTAAGACGCTACTGCTCTACTGTTCTATAAAACAAATTAAGAGCTTGGAAGAATATATTTATGACTTTACATGCAGTGTAAATGGTGAAGAAGAATTGAGTGTTAAGTAAACTTTACGACTGTAAGGTGCAAAATTGTTCAGCTCAATCAGAACTGGGCAAAAATCACTTTCATTACTCAAAACTCATGAATAATGTATGTCAAATTTGGAATACAGCTTCAAATATCACAATGGTCTGTCCCTTCTTTCCTTTTCGTCCTTCTCTCTTACAGCTTTCAGTGTTTTTTGCTTGATCTCTTCGGCTAGAGATTGGAATCCTTTCGCAATCTGAATTGAAATGGATGAGGTGATACTGAAGTGTGACGTGATAGCGCCGCATTATCCGAATCTTCAAAATATTGTTTTAATATGGAACCTCTGAAGCGCCAGGTTGAAGGTGAATATCAAACTTGTCGAGGTATTGCTTCGCTTCCTGTTCTGGTGACAGAAGGGCAGAGCGCTTCCAGCGCCTAGTTACCTGTAAAGTTAAACATAGAAGCCTATTAGAATTGCTCATCTGTTCAGCTATTGTTGCCCAATGCATTAGTAGTGGTTATCACCTGTGACGACGCGCTTCCGTCCAACATGTTTCCAATTCCACTCCCGAGCGCTTCGCTCATAACTTCCGAAGTATCCTGTACCGAAAACCCAACTCCAATAATTTTATAAACAGAACGAAACACTAAACAAAAATGAAAGGATAAAAGAAAACACCAACTTCCTGTGCCACCAATCATGTTCTCGAAATATCCGCCGAGGAATGGGATGAGCCCAGCGGCTCTGGCTGCAATATCGGAGGTACCGGTAATCATGTTGCCCAAACCACTTGCTGTCTGCTTGACCGACTGGCCCAGGAAGCTTGATGACGCTGAAACATTCACGAACCTCCCCTTGAAAGTTCATTGCCAGGACCATTCATTCATTCTTCTCTTTCTGAGCTCACAAGACATTGCAACTTTGATGAGTATCTTCGGAGATGGTAAGCAAAGGCTCGCCGATCATCTACATAGATAAAAGGTGCACTTTGAAGTCGTCATTGCATTACTATTATTTTTCAAGAATTTCCTCCAAAAGAGTGCCTGGATCGAACCGACTATCATGAAAAGAAGCAGCCTTGGTCAAGCGGCAGCTTCCGGTGGTAAGTCAAAATAATCCCATAGGACGAGATTTTCCTGCTTCAACTCTTCGCATTGCATGGTCTCTACTTCACCAAAAAGAAACACTTGTTGTCACACATATCTAATGTCATTACTTTGCACTATACGTAATAGTTTACGAGGGGTTCTCTACCTCTCGGACCTTTCCAGCTTTCGGATTTAAAAGCATAAGTCACCAGTGGTATGAAGGATCGTCCTATTTACCTCATCAGCCACATCCATGCGCAACAATACCACTGGTTCCATCGGAGAGCCATTCGCCACAGCATTAACGTAATTCATTTGTATTCAGCATATCTGGGTACTAGGCATCCCTCATCAAACCAAGAGAATGCACCAATGACCAAGTATCGCGCTAGGACATAATATCGTAGCAAACTCTCATTCTCGCTTAGTATGTAGAGGGGCGGAAGTGGTGTAGTGGCAAGTGGCACGCTTACCACGCGAGCGGTCCGGGGATCAAATCCTGGGTCGTGAGTCGCCCGGGCCAACCAAGCCTTCCATCCCTCCGGGGTCGGTTAATTGCAAGTCATTGTATAGGCCACATCGCATTCAAACGCCACTACGAATGTACAAATGGAAGTAGAATGCGTGCCGCATCCCAAAAGGGATTGATCAACGGCAAATGCTTTATCCTTTATCCTTTATGTAGAACCTCAGCATTGTTGTAATCATATTGTTATTCGTTCTGCTGACGAGGTTGTTAGGTGGAAATTTTAGTGGCCTGACGTTTCGACGAGATCGTCTTCCTTAAAGGCCAAACGTGGCTCAAGGTTTGAGATATATCCTTGAGACCACTAATGTCCCCACCTTAGCTTTCCGACGGAACGTTAGGTGGACCAAGCGAAAACCTGGAAGAGCCTCCCATTACGCCATTGCACGAGCGGTGCTGTCCGCCCAGTCCGCCACTCCAGTTCGGTTATGACAGCAACTGAGACTTATTGCCAGTAATAGGCAGTAGAGTAGAGAGTAAGTCTTGTTTGCTAACTACGACTGACCTGGAGTGTCGCGTTTCTGCTCTTGCGGTGGTGGTTAAGTGGGTATATTTCCCTTATTTCCGCGTGTTTCCCTTAGAGCTCCGTCAGAAACGCTAGGGAAAGGAGGCGTTCGGCACTTCGAAGAACATATCTCAAACCTTGACTCATTTTTAGACCCTGTAGAAGACGACCTATTTCTCAGTTTGCGGCACGCTGTGGATAGCAAAATATCACAGGCTTGGAAGCAGCGCACCAATCGACAGCTACTGCCCAGAAATCCAAGTCAACCTAACCGAGATCTAGAAATGGGCTGCTTCAGCAATCGTGCACTTTATTTCGTGGATGTTAGCGTGATTCTCAACGCTTTTCTATTGCTGCGACCGTCATAGCTTCCTCACCCCAAATAAATCGGGGCCCTCAACTAGAGAAAACCACGTTGAAAGGCACTTCAAGCACTTCAATGTTGTGACTCGAGAAAGCACCCTCTGGACACTACTCATTCTTCAGTGATTATCTCTTACAACCCCGCTAAGTTATTAAGAGAGTGGGTGACACCAAAGGACTGATAAGAGTTGCCAACACATACCATTAGCGACTTGTTGAATATCTTCGGCGATCGGCTTCAATGCTGAGGGTACCTGAATGTAAAATATTGTGCATGGAACACTATACACTACACAACAAAAACCGTTGTGAACAATTGCTACGAAAACAAGTCAACCTTCCGGTTAACAATACAGTATGCTGTCTCGCGAGAACTGCCACCTACCTCAAGTGAATTGCCGTTGCTAGTGCACAAGTGAATAGGGAGCAAGCGTGCCGTGCACCGCCCACCTCCAGCGCCCCGAGGAACATTCTTCCCGTTCCGCTGCATGCTGCACCAAGGTCAAGCGACATACATGCTATATTCATTACCTAAACTGAGCATGCATGACATCGGACTGTAGAATAAGTTTTGGTTCCATTCCAGTTAGGGGGCATCATGATGCAGTTTCTCCAGAATACTACTGGTATGCCCTTCCCCCTAACTGTAATCGACCCGAAGTTTTATTTTTGCGAAATAAACACTTCTGAACCTAAACTATGCGATCGATACTGTAATATATGTATTGAATTGCCGACAGTGATCTGCTGTGGACAAAACGCTCAAAAAAGTAAATCGCAGCAACATACTGCTTATGACGATGGATTTATCTTCCTACTCTGTCCCTCCTCCCTCCCTCCAGCTCCGACAAGAATCCACTGCTTGTGGCTTGTAATTGTCCCCACATGCGTACCGATTGAAGGTATGTACGAGGTGATCAGAGCTTCTGTGACTCCAAATCCTCTCAGCGGTGTAGAGGAGGGTTCTATTTTGGGTTGAGTTGCTTGGGAAATCATTGCGTTTATTCCGATAACGCTCAGCCTAATTCAGCCTCCATGCATATCGTGGTTTTGCTCTCATACAGCCTAATCATCGTTTTCTTTTCGATCTGCATTATGGAGGGGCAAGACATTTGGGATAAATACATAATATTAAAAATAATATTATGAGAGTCGCGTTAGTTACTTACTGTGGCCGCAGTATGAGCGTAGAACTGCAACAGCGTGGCGAAGACAAACACATGGTAAGCAGTATATCGAACTGCTTCCTTGGGCGGTTTCTTTTGAGGATGAAGGCTGCTGACTGCCTAAACTCGCGCGTGGACGCTTAATTAGATGGCTATCATAAAATGCCACTTACCGTAACCGTACTGAGCGGCTGCATAGGTCAGCAGAAATAGCAGGTAGACAGGCTTCATTTTCAGTCAGAAACTGTTTATTCTCTCTTCGACTTCGCTTTTTATATGTGTTGCCATAACAGTGACGAGTGAGGGGGATAGCACGTGCGTAGGCAAAAGCTAAACAATGATTCGAAACCCAGTTGTGATTACTCAGTTGTACGGTGTGCCTACGGTAGTTCCATGGTAAGTGTGAAGCTGAACGCACTTTTAAGTGCACTTTTCAACAGCTGATCAAATATAGCTCCTTTTTCGTCTGATTCGAATGCGGAAACAAATGGAATGAATTTTTAATCAATTTTTTTCGTTCTCGTTTTTGTGGCACTATTCTGTGAGAGAATTGAGGGACCTTTGAATTTTTTGAACTTTCGATATCAATCCTAGTCTGTGCTCTCGCCGTTTTTTATCCGTTCGATAGACAAAAAAAAGCTT